TGACGGGGCCCTTTCCATCCTCTGCTATCACCACCAGTTAAACACCAGCCACCTCCACCGCTTCTCCCACCCTGTTTACACAGCTCTGCCCCACTCCACTCAACGCCACATGGTTGTTGTCACCATAGCAAAGCGCTACATGTTTGTGTGGTTACCCGAGTGCTTCCCACCACTGTTTGAATCCTCCTCTTTAGACACAATGCTGTGCAAGGTCTTTATTGTTGTGCTGCGGAATCTACGCCGCGGATTTTCCTTGTGAGACGTGGGCAGCTGATTTTTCTCTTTGCTCCACTTCTCTGTAGCGTGGATTTCTCTCCTATGCAGTGGGATTGTGAGAATAAATACTTTATCAATTGTGAGGCACTGAAATATCACAGTAGTGGAGGCCATAGAAGTAGCAGGATAGACAAGGAACCAGCAGTGAACTCATTGTAAGTTGGGACCTGATCCTGTAAACACACATCTGAGTCTCCTCCTTTCCATGAGTGATGCCAAGTCTCAAAGCTGGTCCCAGAAGCAGAGTCTTGTGAGTGTGAGCGTGTCATCGACTAGGCCATCCTGGATCCTTTGAGGATTATAAATCATATGTTCTGTGGCTTCAGAGTTTCTTTTAATGTAGCCTCTCCATTTGTTCCCAGTTCCTACACGCTTTGCTCTTGAATGAGTCACCAGAAGCTGCTGCTCATGCACTTTCCCTTGCTTTAAATGTCTGCTTTATTTTAAGAAGCTGAATCTCCGGTTTCTCAGAACCTGAAACTCTTTTTATTTTTTTCAGTTTGACAAGTGGACAGATGGTCAGAAGAGGAGGATCCTGGTGGACCTGTTGGAACGCTGCTCCCTTTCACAGCAGAAATTCTGTGCCAAGCACCTACAGGATCGAGTCCCCACCGAGGCTTTAGATTTTACCACAAGGCTCCCTAGAGTCCTGTCTTTATACATCTTTTCCTTCCTGGACCCACGGAGTCTCTGTCGATGTGCACAGGTAAAAAAAAAGCCAACAGGTACTTAAGGTTCAGAGATTCAGGCCAAGTGAGTTAAAAAAAGAGGAAGCAGCACTAATTTTCAGCAAAGACATACCAGTGTTGTTCTTCATAATGCAAGGATGTCTTCTGACTCGGCAGCCTGGTGCCAAATGCTTAGTGATGCTTGTATGAGACTGACTGCAGCACTTCCACAGATCCTAAATTAAGCCAGTTTGGCCCACAGTTACAAAAGTGAAGAGTAATTTTAGATGCTCGGCTCTAAGGCATTTAAAATGTGGCATTTTACATGATTGATGCTTCCCAAGAAGGAGGCCTGGTACTTTTCTGAAATCACAGAATCATAGAATCACAGAATCACAGAATCATGTTGGGGATTGGAAGGGACCTCGAAAGATCATCCAGTCCAATCCCCCTGCCAGAGCAGGAACCTAAATGAGATCACACAGGAAGGCATCCAGGTGGGTCTTGAATGTCTCCAGAGAAGGAGACTCCACACCCTCCCTGGGCAGCCTGTCCCAGGGCTCTGGCACCCTCACTGGAAAGAAATTTCTTCTCAAGTTTAAGCAGAACCTCCTGTGTTCCAGCTCACACCCATTGCCCCTTGTCCTACCATTGGGCATCACTGAGAAGAGTCTGGCTCCATCCTCCTGACATTCACCCTTTACATATTTATAAACATTAATTAGGTCAAACTGTGTTCTTTTAAAGTACCTTTCACTGTGTGCAGAATCATTACTTGCTTTGAAAAGTACTGGCTTGTGCTAGTTGCAAAGAACTGCACACGATGCTTGCAGAAAACCAGATCCTTTAAAATGCTTGAGGGTAAAGTGTTGGATGTGGAGAAGCAGAGAAGGCACAGATGTGCTTTTGAGCACAGTGCCTTGGGCTTCAGTCTTTTGAGCACAGTGGCTAAGACTCCAAAAATATGTTTGCATGAGATAAAGTGCTGTGAGGTGATGCCCAAAGTAGTTCTCAGTAAGTTCAGATATTGGTGACTGCACTAACATACTACTCCATAAAATTCTATGAATATATCAAAATCTGAGCTTGTTTAAAGCTTCCTCCAGTAACTTTCTCCAGCATTTCATGTTTTATGTGGATGCAACTCACCCTCTTCATTCACAGGCAGGGAGAAGACAGGTTAGGAAATTCCTTACTTTGAAAGAAAGGTCTTTACAGTGCTACTTGTGTCATATCATTAGACAGCTGCTATTATAAGCCAGGCAGTGACAAGAGATGATGTTTGTCCTTAAGGTGGAACAAGCATTGCATGCAAGGTGACTATGTGATGGAGTGGAACAGCAGAACATGAGTGGGGGAAAAAACCATTCAAAATGGATCTATCAGACTTGGAGAGTTCATTGATGCTGTTTTCTCAGTGGAAACAAAGGGTTTATTCCAACTCCTGTATGCTTATTGAGTAGAAGTGCAGGAAGTTACTCCAAACCAGCTGAAAAGAGAAGGCTCCAGGGAGATCTTCTAGCAGCCTTCCAATACCTGAAGGGGGCCTACAAGAAAGCTGGGGAAGGACTTTTCCTAAGGGCAGTTAATGACAAAACAAGGGGAAATGCGTTTAAGCTGAAAGAGGGGAGGTTTAGATGAGATATTAGGAAGAAGTTCTTCACTGTGAGGGTGGTCAGACACTGGAACAGGTTGCCCAAGGAAGTTGTGGCTGCTCCTCCCTGGAAGTGTTGAAGGCCAGGTTGGATGAGGCTTTGAGCAACCTGGTCTAGTGGAAGGTGTCCCTGCTGCTGGCAGGGGGGTTGGGACTGGATGATCTTTAAGGTCCCTTCCAACCCAAACCATTCCATGATTCCATGATTCTATGAAATCTTTCCTCTTGGCCCATGATTTTTGGAATGTTTCACCCTGTGCTGGAGATCAGCTAACACTTAGGTGCTGAGCATCTCATGAAGACCTTGAATGGTTTAAATGGTTTAATGAGAGGTTTAAATGGAGCATAAACAGTGCTGAAGAACTGTACCAGTTTAAGGACATAAAAGAATTACAACCACAGCACAGAATTCTGAAGCTGCAATCTTGGATGCTTGAAATCCCAAGGTTTTCAGCTTACTGGGCATTTGCAGGTGAGCTGGTACTGGAAGTACCTGTCTGAACTGGATCAGCTCTGGATGCTGAAATGCCTGCGTTTTGGCTGGTACATCAACTTCTCTCCAACACCTTTTGAGCAAGGAATTTGGAAGAAACATTACATTGAGATGGTGAAAGAGCTGCATGTCACGAGACCAAAGGTATGTACCTACCACCTAGAGATGTTTGGGGCCAGTGAGAAAACTGGGCTGGTTGGGTTCCTGACCCCTTTGATTCTTGATCTTTGTGTAATCTCCCACTAGGAAAATGGAAGATTCACCATTTTAAATTAGAATCTAAACTTGTGCGTTGCCATGCGCTCTGCTTTCCCATCATCCATCCCTGGCAGGGAGGAAGTGGAAATCTCACTGGTTAGGAAAAGCAATCACCAAGGTCTCACCCTCCTGTCCTTCCAGGGTGTTCTGGAGTAATCCTCTAAATTCCCCTCTCCAGCACTCAAGGTTGTTCCCCTCTCTTTTTCCTGAGTTTATAGAACATATGATAGCTCACCTTAATCTGATAAGCAGAGGTGGGGTACACAGCATCACCCCTGCTGACTTTTCAGAATCAATTTACCTGGTGGAAAGGAAAAAAGTGCCCCTTATGCCTGTTATAGCTCTTGGTGTTGTCTCTTTTTATCCAGTTTTGGGGCCCCCAGCATAAGAATGACATAGATCTACTGGAGCCAGTCCAGAAGAGGTCACAAGGATGATGCAAGGGCTGGAGCAGCTCTGCTGTGAGGACAGGCTGAGAGAGTTGGGGCTGTTCAGCCTGGAGAAGAGAAGGCTCCAGGGAGACCTTCTAGTGGCCTCCCAGTACCTGAAGGGGCTCCAGGAAGGTGGGGAGGGACTTTGGTCAAGGGCAGGGAGTGAGAGAAGAAGGGGTGATGGCTTGAAAGTGGCAGAGGGGAGATGGAGCTGGGATGTGAGGAAGAAATTGTTTGGTGTGAGGGTGGTGAGACAGTGTCCCAGGTTGGCCAGAGAAGCTGTGGCTGCTCCTCCCTGGAAGTGTTTGTGGCCAGGTTGCATGAGGCTTTGAGCAACCTGGTCTAGTGGAAGGTGTCCCTGCTGCTGGCAGGGGGGTTGGGACTGGGTGAGCTTGAAGGTCCCTTCCAACCCAAACCAGTCTGTGATTCTATGATTCTTCAAAGGCAGCAGGGCCGATTTGGGGAGGTGGAGCATTACTCAGCAGCCCTTGCTTTCTCCTGAGATTCCCTGATGCCATGCCTGGTTTGTGGGGCTGCAAGGGTGGGATTCTACCACCCTGAATTCAAAACAGCCCTCGCATTTTAACCAAACTCCCCCATAGACTCTCTCTGTAGTCCTCAGAGAGAAGCCAGTTCATCTCAAAAGCAACTCAGCTCATCTTCATACAGATTTTGGGGACATGGGTGGTGACATGCACTGTCAGGGTGCCTATTTCTGTCCACTGACCATAATGGAGCCTGGAGAGACTAATGTTCAGTTAATACCCAATTCTTAGAAATCTAAAGTCAGGCAAAATAAATCTCATTTTCGTTATAGGCTAAAATTCATTTTTCTCCTTTTAATCTCTCTTATTAGACTCCTTCAAAGGATGAGTTTGTAGTTATCGATGTACAACCGGTAAGAAGCGACACCCCAGAGGCAAAACTTTCTGTGCCAGGAAGGAGAACAAACAAGGAGAAGAAAGAGCTCCCACCATGGCGTTCAGCAGACAGGCATCCCACAGACACCATCCGCTTCAACTACCTCGACAACGACCATCCCATCGAGCAGGCGAGGCAGGCGTAAGTGCTTCATCTCTTCCTTTCTCCTTTTTCTGCCCCACAGGGTATGTCTGTGTCCTTTGCAAGCTCCCTCTGCCTGTGCTCCAAGCTGCGTGGAAGCTTTATAGTTCAGCAACCTGGTTGCAAACCCATTTTGCTGCTTTTCTGGCTTTTCTTGGATTGATCATGGTCTGGTTGTAGTTCTGTGCTGTTTTGTGTCCTTTCAGCGCCGAGCGTGGGCACAGCTTGTTAGTGGCTGTATATAAAATAGGCTGTAACTCCTGGGGATGTGACACAGCTGTAATGGGAAGAATCAGGACAAGACTTTGTTCAGGAGTTTTTAAATAAAGCTGCAAGGTTGAGAGGAATCTCTGGCTTTTTGCACAGAAGAGGTAGAATGAATTAATTGTGATGAAATTGTGATTGATTTGCTTAGGGACATGGTTTAGTCAGGGACTTGTAATAGAATCATCAAATGTCGTGCGTTGGAAGGATGATCCTTCCACAAGGATGCTGGAGTCCAACTCCTGTC